CGGTGGGCTGCGTGCCCCTCTGCAGCATGGACGTCCGCCTGCCCAGCCCTGACTGCCCCTACCCGCGCCGAGTGAAGCTTCCTGGAAAGTGCTGCGAGGAGTGGGTCTGCGACGAGGCCAAAGAGCAGACTGCCGTGGGACCTGCTCTCGCTGGTGAGTGGGGGTCCCTCCGCGGATGGCAGCCCAGGGGGAAGGGGCACCCTGCATGGAGGTTGAAGGCAGTGAGACGGGTTGACGCAGGGCACCCCGGCAGCTGGAATGCAGCTGTTAGTGGGGTCACCCCAGAGATGAGCGTGGCTGCCTGAATTTCTAAGGAAAGGGATGAGAGACTCTAGCAGGGCATGAGATCAGACGGTGGTCTCATCCTGGTTGTCTGTCCCCTGCAGCTTACAGACTGGAAGATACTTACGGTCCAGACCCAACAATGATGCGTGCCAACTGCCTGGTGCAGACCACTGAATGGAGTGCTTGCTCCAAGAGCTGTGGCATGGGCATCTCAACCAGGGTCACCAATGATAATGCCTTCTGCAGACTGGAGAAACAGAGTAGACTGTGCATGGTCAGACCTTGCGAAGCAGACCTGGAGGAGAACATTAAGGTAAATAGTCTCATCTTTATGTATGATCTACTAGAATGCTTACATCCACTAGCAAAAACCTAGTGTCTTACCAAAAAATGTGCAGTTCTGACAGGTAGTCAGTTTCAAGTGGTTTACCTTGAAATTTGAGTTTTGCCCCGGTGGTGAATAGTTTACAATTAAATGCCCTTAATTTTCTCTCACGCTGTATTATGGCACTATGTAAGATACTCTTGCTTAATGAAAATATAATAAGGATTAGCATGTCTGCTTGCCCTTAGCTTGCAAACTTAGTGCTGTGTGAAAGCCTACCTTCTAAACATTTTGTATTCACTTGTATCCTAACAGAAAGGCAAAAAGTGCATTCGCACCCCCAAAATCTCCAAGCCCGTCAAGTTTGAGCTGTCTGGCTGCACCAGCGTGAAGACCTACAGAGCTAAGTTCTGTGGTGTCTGCACTGATGGGCGCTGCTGCACACCCCACAGAACAGCCACCCTCCCCGTGGAGTTCAAGTGCCCTGATGGGGAGATCATGAAAAGGAAAATGATGTTCATCAAGACCTGCGCGTGCCACTACAACTGCCCTGGAGACAATGACATCTTTGAGTCTCTGTACTACAGAAAGATGTATGGAGACATGGCATAAAGCCAGAAGGAGACGCTAAGTAGATTCTCAACTTGAACTGATTTGCATCTCACTTTGTAAACATGATTCAATAGCACAAGGTATTTAAATCAGTTTTTTTTTTTATTTCAACAAACTGCTCCGTGTGACTTAAGACAATTTTTCTACTGACCCCAAATGGTGGTTTGAAGAAGAAGGTGAAACGGACAGTGGGACCACAGCAAGACACAGCTTCAGAACACGCTGTTTGTGAGGTGGTGTGAAGGGGTTAAGGGAAACAGGCAGGAAAAGCAGAGCCGAGCAAATGTTCCCTTGATGTGGTACAGCGTGCTTCATCTAGTAGTGCAATTGAGAAGGAGACCGTTAGCATGTTTGCTGGCGCTGGTTAACTGACAGCAACAGCTGGAATGCTGCAAACCCTCGCCCAGCGAAGTGTTAAGTAGAAGGTGTTCTGTTAGTCAGGACAGTAATGTTTCAGCTCTGACACTCTGATTCATATGGCTTGGTCAACAAGAATCAGAATCATGTCTATTAGACTGGACAGCTTGTGGCAGTTAATTTACCTGTAACAAGCTACTTTTTATTAATATTGTAAATACTGTGTGTGTGATATATATTTGTACAGTTATCTAAATTAATTTAAAGTTTTGTGCCTTTGTTTAATGCTTTGAAATTTCAATGATAGCCTTCTTTTTTGGAACAAGATAGGTAGGATTTAAAGCTTGTCTGACAATGCATTCAAAGCATGAAATAAATACTCTAGTGGAAATTGTTCAGATGGGGCCAAATGGTGAGTTGAGATCAAGATGGAGAGTATTACGAGTTGAGGTGCCTGTATTCTTACAAAGCACTCATCTGGCAAAATACCTTTACTTCCACTTTATTGGACAAGTGGCTTTAAAAAAATGGCTCTTCTGTAGGTCATCAGTCTTTCCACTTGAGCATTTGTTTCTTTCTTTGACTATGGCTCTTTTTGGACAGTTTATTTGTTGAGAAGTGTGACCAAAAGTTACATGTTTGCACCTTTTTAGTTGAAAATAAAGTATTTATATTTTTTATATAAATGGCTTGGTATTTCATTTACCTTTAGTCTTCACTATTACTTTTCATATTCCTAAAAGGGCTTGGCTTTGCACTAGATGAAAATCAAGTAATGCGTCGTGGGTTTTTCTGTCCAGAAGCACATACACTCATGAATAAGCTAATGATTTATGGTTACTTACTCTGTTACTAGTGAACCAACTGTAGTTTGTTACTCTTCTGAATTTAGAACGGAGGGCAGGGCCAGGCTTGCTTTGCCAAGGCCGGTATTGCATTAGAAAGCGCAGCAGGTTCCTCATGCATCACATGTGGTGGCTTTGAAGTGAGCCAGCTGGTCACCATAGTATTCAACTCCTGCTATAATACTCCATGCAACATACTTAATTTCATTGAAATGTTCCACAAGTTAAGATCTGTTTTCAGCTAAGGCAAGGAAAATGGTTTTTAAAGTATCTGCATTAAAGTGGCTCCTGACTCTAGAGTCAAATCCAGAAGTCCAAAATTTGGTAAAATTCTCAGTGAAGAGCTAATGAGTTGTATCATAAAAATCATAGAATGATACAGGTTGGAAGGGACCTCTTAAGATCTTCTGATTTAACCTTCATGCAGAGTAGGGCTAACTTAGATGTGGTTTTACTTAAATTAAGACCTTAGTATGGTATGGTAGACAGAGCACTGAACTCAGGTGGCAAATACCTGGGTGACCTTCCTACTTGATGACTGGGGGCAAGTCATTTTACATGACCGTTCTGTCTGTAAAGTGTCCACTGATTCAAACTCTTGCAGGCCCACAGATGAGAAGCGTTGCAAGAGCTTCACATTTTGATAATGGTCCAAACGTTCTTCTCAGATAAGCAAAAAACAGTGTAAGGACAGTTGTGAGTCTTATCTCTTATCCCCCTAAAGCTAAAAGGAAAGCTTCAGTCCTGTGCTAGGTCCTACATTAATAACAGACTTCTTTTGTCCCTTTATTAAGACGAGGGGATTCTCTGAATTTAAAATTAACCTTTGCACTAGAAGCATTAGTTCTTGTTTTCAGAAAAAACACGTACTCTCCAACAAGAATCCTCTTCAGGCAAACAAGTTCAATCTGGAATTTCCTGGTGGTGAAAGAGTGTTAGCTTACAAAAATGTCCATCCTTCCTGAGCACCTTCCAATCCCATTGATTGCCGCTAGCATTAGCGGCAAATCAGTGTAACACCAGCTTTGACTAATGATGGGCAACGGAGCCCTAAACTAATGGGAAGTTAATGGGAGTCTTGCCAGTGGCCTCACCTGGCTTTGCAGAAGGCCATAGAAACATTTCCCCTTCCTCTAAAAAATACGAGGAATTCTCCTGGCATGAGGAAGTGGCTTTCTGTGTCCCATATGAAATAGTTTTGGGTAGCCTCTGGCTCTTACGCTCCCTGAGACTCTCCAGCATTTTTTCTCTTTTTTTTTTTTTCTTCAGGTTATGAATACGATGCAGCCATTCAGTTCACCCTGGAAACACTTCAAACGCTCATACAACCCCAAGGACTGCTTGTCCTACCGCTACTGTGGCTCCACCCCCAAATAACAAGAAAACTGTCATTTCTGGTTCCAGCAAGGGCAGGACGTACATGGACTTCATTCATAGCCATCACTATAGAAGCTGTCAGGATTAGAAGAACAAAAAGAAGTACAATACACCTAGCAGGTTTGGATTAATGCCCTTAAAAGATGGGTTGTTTATGAGGCTGCTCAAGCCTGTTCATTAACAACTCTGCCCTGCGTTCTTTTACAAATTGGTATCAGTCATGAATGGCCATTCCTTATAACATCAACCTCTTGAGCCTCGTGACCAGCTCATGAGATTCACTTAGGTTCTGCTCCCAGTCCTCCGCGGTGCGGGCTGTATCTCAGACGCCTAAGCTGCACAGTGCTGTGGCCTCCCCCGGCACCGTCCACCAGCTGTGCCTGGCATACAAGGCTGCAGGGCCAGAGAGCGGCAGCGGTGCTCTGGTTTAGGAAGGGCCATCTGTAATTAGAGACCCACAAAGGGGGCTCCCCTAAAACAGCTCGGGACCACGACTTATCCTCTGCCTGGTAATGCAATGATGCAGCTGCTTTGCCTGCCATCTGACAAATTATCACACTGCTTCACAGGCCAGCGGAGAAGGATGAAAGAGGCCTCCTGTCAGAATATTTTAATGGTGGTTTGCTGTTGCCACTGTGAATTAAAATAAAGAAGTACGCTGCATATGCAAATCTGTTTAGCAAGTTGTTGCTCTCCCCTGAGCATATCAAGGATCATAAATTTCAGCTATCACTGCATTATAATGACTTGCACTTCTTTTTTTTCCAGGAACACAGGTAGTCTTCTGACAGAAGCATGCATTTTACACCATTTCACAAGTGTTAGACCTCTGAAGGTTTTATCTCTGAAGGTAAAGAAATTCAAATACTTTTGTTGTAAGGTCTCCTAGAGGTGTAGGTAGGCATCATACTGTTTGTAAGACGTTCTTTCAAAGGTATCCTGGGAAAAAGGAGCCCTTGTGTGGAATTTATGGCATCTTAAATGACGTTTAAAATGTGGACCTTTCAACCGTAAAGATGTTTCCTGATTTCTTTGTGCCTAAGATGTATAGATGCAAGAATAAAAACTTGAGTTCAAAAGTCCACAGTCACTTACATGGGAGAGAACATTGGTTCACATTCCTTCCAAAATACCTTGTTCTGGAAGTTCGCTTTTGGGTATTTGCATCCTCAGAAAATTCTATTGTGCAGGTTTGCTACTGTACTTTTAAAATACTTTATTCATATATGAAAGTGTATTCATTCAAATGACTAGCTGCTTAAAATGGATCTCCAGCAATACTAATAATACAGTTGGTAAGGGACCACTGTAAAGTCAATACTCATTTAATAAATGATACTCAATTAATCATTAAACAGGAATTCAAGGTGGCTGGAGACCAGAGTATCGAATAATTTGTGAAATAACTCTAAGCCATCATATTTCAGATTTTTGTACCATAACACTTTTGTATGGATTTGCAGCTTAGCTTTCTAACACAATGCAGATGTGAACAACAGACACGGCTTATAGCCCTTTCATATGAAATAGGCTCTACTCTCCAGATGGAAATTTGTCAGATTCCTCAGAGCTAAGAAACATCCAAAAGACACTAGTTAAGAAACTCTTCAAGAATGAGCCACTTTTAATGATCCGTAACCTCACAGGAACAAATAAGTCTTTGAACAGTATCCAGTTGTTTGTCTCACAAAGACGGGGACTCAGCTGAGAAAACTGGCTTTTGGGCACCACTAGAAATAGCATACTCTAACTAGATCATTTGTATTTTTTTCATGTAGCATAGCTTTTTCAGACATCGCACTTGAAGAAAGCACTCGTACCATTACACTGAAAACGACATTAAATGTAAGAAGGAACAGTAATATTCTTACCTAAACATATAATAATTCAACCATTCTGACTTTGCATCCTACCACCAAAGACCTAAGTTCTTTAAAAACAGTGCTTAAATGTGGCTTTAACTGATGTTATACTATGCCTACATATGGAAGCAGTTAGCAAAGAGAAGTTGGGATGAAATACCAGTGTAAGGCTTTGCCCAAAACCCAAGAAGAATCCGAGAGAGGAAGTAGCTCAGTTAACTTATTTTTCCTCTCATTTTCCACTTTTTTTCCTCCCTGCAGTTCCTTTGATTCATGCCCATAAATGGACATACCAAAAGGCACCACATTCTCACAGTGTTTTTCAGCCTGCCTGGAACCAGGAAATACCAGGAATTTCTTCAAGGAACCTGTTCCCAAACTGTACTAAAGCCTTCAACACATTTAGCGTTTGAACAGAGTGTAGAAGCATGACTAAGGTCCCATCTCCACTGCACGACCCAGCGTTGCTCCTGCATCAGAGAACAACTGCTTGCGGTCATTGCTGCTAGCCCTGGCCTTTTCAGCTCTTCTCTGTGCCGGTCCGAGCCCACACCCCCAGAGCAGCGAATATGGGGCAATTCTGAAAAGTACCCCCAGAAACCTCTGACTGTGTATTGTGGCAGCATTCCTCAGCTCCTGTCTGTTATTGGGGCAGTGCCAAATGCAGGAGTATTTACGTTTGCTTAATGGTAAGTAAATCCAACCCTGATAGTAGTATAATAGTGTCTATGCTGTGAGGAAAAAAGCATTTTACAGCCTCGTGAGCAGGACCAAAAGGTTGCTAATGCGGTACTGCAGTGTAAACACAATCCAGTGGTGCCTCCATTCATTACTCGGCCTCATTAATTGGGCCACTGAAAGAAATGCACGATCCAAAGAAATGTTTGTTGTTTTAAATTAGTCCTATTAAAAGCAGGTATTTAACAGCTTTCAGCAGCTACGAAATATCTTTTCCTGCTTCTGAGCTAAATGCAAAGAACCAGCTTTTCAGCCAGTTTTCAGGACTTCTGTCAGCCTAGCTAATTGACATAACTGCAGTCACACTGGTTTAGACCACCAGTGGCCCAAAGTCCTGAGGCTGTACGAAGTTAGGGGAACTGCACGGGGCTGTGTGCCTGGGAGGGCTCCCCAGAGGCCACAGGCTGGCTCCTGTGGCATTTGCTGGGCAACAAGCACTTGGAGGAGCACAAATTGCACAAGAAAGCATTACCTACTAGGGAAGTGATAAGCCAGTGCATCTGGTAAATGAATGTGATGGACTAGAATTCAAAATAGATCTGAAATACTGTTCGAGCTTTAGGCAATGTAACATCTGGGAAGGTATTAGATATAATCTTAATACACTGTGATATGGTATGGTGTTAATTATGCTTTCTTAATTACATATTTCTTAAATCATGCAATTTAAAAAAAAGTTTATTCTTAACCAAAGATGACATTTGATGTCTTCTGATGAGAGATCATCTCATCATGGCTTTGTGATTTGGCACAACACCATGCTCTGTAGGAACTTACTTTGCCCTAACTCTCAGGCTTTGGTTACACCACATGCGCTGAGCCATTCACTGAGCCAAGAACAGGTATGGCCCCGCTGACGTCTGC